TAAAGCTTTAGCTGCTCCCATTGCATAGGGGTAAATGGCTGATTTTGTAAATGCTTCTCACGCTATACACTAGTAAATTGCTGGGTAACAAATTGTATCCTTGTAACTTTAAAAAGGTAAGTATTGGTAAAACACACAACTTTAACTTTTTGTGGTATTGCTGATTTGAAAGGAGGCCAGTTCCTGAAAAGGTTTGCTTGGTTGGTGTAATGTTCCTGTGGGTTAAATGTGGACAAGTTCTGCTTGAGCTTGGCCAAGCACAGAGTATCTTCCTTGTTCCCAGTGGCTGTCCTGTGAAGCCTTGGCATTCTGAATGCATTCCTAATAGTCTTGACTATTACACAGCTAAAACCTATGGCCTAGCTTTTTTTGTTGGTGGTATTTTTTTCCTCTTTTCCCTTACAGCTTGTTCGAGAGCCTGTAAAGGAATCTATAAGTGGTAATACTCTGCAGTACTCCAGGTTGAGGAGGAGGAGATGCTTACTAAACCAGCCAAAAACATCAACCCTTTGGGGCCGAGTTAGGTTTTTTGTGTGACATGGTCAGTACCTGGAGCTGGCATGAGGAGGGGCAGGACACTGCAGCTGCCAGGGATACAGGAACTGCCACTTCTGCTGCCGGCTGAGGGCTTTGCCTTTTTGATTTGCAAGTATTGTGATCAGGTTTAGTAAAATCAAAAGAGGATGAAAACTTTGGATTTGGGGAAGCAGGACACCTGGGTTTGATTTTAAGCCCTGCTGGTCATGACTTGGAGGACTAGGTACTTGTGTACTTTTCCCCTTCGCGAATGATGGGGTATTCCAGAGAGCTTGGAAACATTCAACACCTGAGTAGTGACATGTTTGTACCTTAAAGCCTCTGCCATTTAATACAGGCCCAAAGAGCAGGTGGCATCTCTGGGTGTGGGTAGGCACCTGCTGATTATAAATTTGGGATATATTTAGGACTTACTAGTAAGAAAAGCTCCAGACAACCTTTTTCAGACTTGAGATGCTTCAAAATAAAACATCAACGTAACATTGATGGTATTTAAGTTACCAAGGCATTCTTTATCACCCTTTGGCCCTACGTAAATTAGGAAATATATTCAGCTTTACATCTACATTTACATTTACATCCTGTCTTTGGTATTCCAAGTCTCTCACTTTCATCAGCACCTCTCGTGTTAAATGCTTTCCCACCCAAATACCTTCCAGAAGAGAAGGTACATGAACAGTTTCTGGAAAAAAAAAGGGTCAGCAATCATCCAGCTCTTGAACTGCTTGAGGACAGCATGTCTGAATTGACAGAACCAACCTGCATCTCTTACACCTCCTTCAGTGTGTGCTGGAGAATCCAAACAGGTACAGCCTGCCTCAAACCACAGAAATAATTTTGCAAAATTACGGCCCTTGTTTCCCTGCCAGGCCTGGTGTTCTGTAGGCTGGCTTATTAAAACCACGTCCATACCAAGAAAAAACACTTTAGTGTTTGAATGCATGAAGGTTGGGTCAATAAAAAGAACAAAAGGCACTTGTTCAGCTCTGTAACTCTGCCTGTAAGTATTGTTCTGAAGGTAATGAGCTGTGAGAGAATCCAGCCAATTCAGAGACAGGACAGAACATGCATGAAAAACATGAAGTCAGAATACAAATTCTTCTCAGAGAATCCAAACCCCTCCACCAAATCCCACCTTTCTTCTCCAAGCATAAACAGCATAATTAGTGACAAAATTTCTGAAGAATATGTAACACATGTAACTCCTCCAGATCTTTTATTTCTTCAACTTAACGGGAACTTCAAGCCCACATATCACAGGCTCACAGAATCATTCTGTCTGGAAAAGCCCTCTAACATCAGCTCAAACCATGCCACATCCACACAAGTGTTAAATCCCTGCAGGGATGGGGATTCCACCACTACCCTGGGCAGCCTGTGCCTGTGTTGGGTCATGCTTTCCTTGAAGAAATTCCTCCTGATGTTCAACCTAAACCTCCCCTAGCACAGCTTGAGGCTGTTTCCTCCTGTCCTGTCCTTTGTTCCCTGGGAGCAGAGCCCGACCCCCACCCTGCTGCACTCTCTTGTCAGGGAGTTGTGGAGAGCAAGAATGTCTCCCCTGAACCTCTTGTTTCTCCAGGCTGAGCTTCCCTTCAACTGTTCCTGGTCGTCCAGCCCCTTGCCCAGCTCCATTCTCTTCTCCAGACATGTTCCAGCCCTCCTGTGAGAGGCTCAGAACTCTTGCCAGGATTCGAGGTGGCCCTCAGCAGTGCCCAGCACACGGGGATGGTCACTGCCCTGGTCCTGCTGGCCACACTGTGGCTCATACAAGCCATGTACCACTGGCTGCCTTGCCCACCTGGGCACACACCAGTTCACGTTCAGCAACTGTCACCAGCACCCCCAAGTCCTTCTGGCAAAGCCTTTTTTACTTGCTTTGGGGGAAATGGACTCGCTTCTCACAGACAAATGTAGAGACAGCAAGAGCATACCACAAACCAGAGGTGCTGCTTGCTCTCTGGGCCTGTGCTAGTGACACAGGTTTAGGGTAAAAGCATGTCACTATTCAGGCGCTGAGCATTCACTGCTGTGTTCTGCCTCTGCGGTCTCTCTGTTGAACAATCTGTGCTGTGTTTCTGAGTGAAAGTTGTAGGTGAAATTTGGGCAGATGGGAACTGAAAAGCTCGATAGTCAAATGTGTTTCAGATGCAGAATTTAAAATGTCTCTTTGCTGTGTAACTGGATCTGGATCTCACGAATACTGTGCTGAGCCATTTTGGGAGGACACTTAAAATGTGTGGTGTTCCCTGGCTGATCACGCTCCTCGTGTGGGTTCTGCAGGCTGAGCTCTCTTACTCATGGTGTTAAACAACAACACCCCAAAAAAAGAAAAGGGGGGAGGGGGAATTTTGTTGAACTGTTTAATTTGAGACACACATTTGGTAGCTTGTGGGTCGGTAAGGGTGGTGGTTAGTAAACTTCAAAATGAGAGAAAGTGTTTGATATGGCATGCACTAATTTTTATTTTCTAAATCTGCTTTATTAATAGCATCACAGACTTTTCTAACTTTTCACTGCAATTATGTCGTCTCTGACTCTTTGCTTCATTTGGTGGAAGCTGATCTCTGTTAAATTTGGGAGCTTTCTCCAGCTTTGATGCTGAAAGAACATATGGGAGTAATGTGTTAAATTGAAAAAGAGAAAAGCTTGTGGGAGGAGGTGGTAGAGGTAAGCAGGTGTGATCAGAACCAGCTTGGCACTGTCTATTTCAGGGATGCTCCTGTAAAAGTGTTGGCATCCTTAATGTTAAGGAAGAAAAGCCTTTCAGCATTTGTAAGAAGTCCAAGTGTTGGTACTGAAAAATGGCATAGCTCAAAGAACCACAGGATCTCCTGAGCTGGAAGGGACCCTCAGCAAACCCACTCAGAACCTTCCAGTCCTTGCCCCCAAGTCACTTACAAAGGCATTTGAGAGAACTGGCTGTAAGATGGAGCCCTGTGGAACCCCAGTGGTCACCACCTTGATGTCACCCCATTTCCTGTAATTTTCTGAGGTGCAAGGCCATCAGCTCTGCAGTATGGAGTCTGTGTGCTTTGCCTTGTTTTCAAGCTTATTTCACAAAGTATTGTAAAACTTCATCACATCTTACTGAGCTGCAGCGTGTACTGCTGGCCCCCTTGTAGCTTGGTAACTTGCCCCCAGTTTTTAACTGCAAGCCCTGGGCCCGGCTGTGGTTCCTGGAGGCAGCCTTTTCCCAGGAGGGAGCGGGAGGCAGTGCAGGGCTGTCCCTGAGTGGGGCACTGTGCAGCTGCTGCCTGGGCAGCCTCCTCCCAGCACAGCTTTGTGTGCAGTTGCCTCCAGGATTTTACCACAAGTTTGTATCTTGAGGCGCCTCCATTTGTGCAGCTGGGACTCTGGCCAGGTGCCATAAATGTTTATGCAATAACAGGAATGAAGATCCCTTTATGTTCTGCACAGCCTCCAGATGCCTGTGTGTTGTGGGGATTTGCTTATGTGTTAGCTGCACCTTTGCCTTTGGACATGTTTATCTTGGGTTGAAAGACCAACTTGATGTCTCCTGTGGTGTTTTTGTGCCCATGTCAGCTGTGGACAAGGCACACAAGGTGTGTGATGGGTAAGGCTGGACCCTGGGGTGTTGTTCTCTGCCCTTGGGGCTTGGCAAGGGCTGTGACTGTGTATTCTCTCACAAGTGCCAGCTCATTTATTTTTTATTCATGCACATGTTAATTTACCAGGCAAATCTCAGCTATGAAGCAGCCCTGTCCTAAAATATGTGCTTAAATGATGTTAACATTGCTTATAGACTGTATAGCTATATGAGTGAGCAAGCTTTGTGCCAGCCAGGAGGAGTATTTGGGATAGTGCTGGCATCAGACATGGAATGTTCACTGGGATAACTAGATCCCTAGTGTGTTCCTCCAGTGGGTGCTGTTAAAAATCTTCAGTACTTCTGACATGGCTAAAAGTATCCCACCTTCAGCACTGCTCCTGTGCCCCTGACCTGAGCAGTGGGACTGGCTGTAGTGGGATCACAGAATCCCACAGTGTTTTGGGTTGGAAATGACCTTAAAGCCCATCTCATTCCACCCCCTGCCATGGGCAGGGACGTCTTCAGTACACCAGGTCGCTCCAAGCCCAGTGCAACCTGGCCTTGAACACTTTTATGAATGGGGCAGCCACACCTCTCTTTGCAACTGGTGCCAGTGCCTGGACAGGACAGGCTGCAGGTGCCTGGATTTTTCATGCTCATGTCCTGAAGGATTGCCAAATTCTGCTGCAGGGCCCAGGGGCAGTCCCTGCTCCAGGTGGGGTGGGGACTGGCTGAGGTCCTGTCGGACACAAAACACCAGCTGCCTGCATTCTTCAGTGTCACACAAGTTTGGCACCAATGCTCTGGTGGAAAAGTGGTCTCAAGTTCAAAGAACAGGCTTAGGAGACTTTGCAGAGGCTGTTTCGGCAGGGAGGAATGTAACATTTTGTTGTTCTTCTCTTGTTTGTTGCAGCACACTAGTTACTGCTTGGACTTCGCAAACATAAATTCCTGAGCCGGCTGATCTCTCCAGCCAGCTTCCCACCATGGATCAGGACTATGAGAGACGTCTCCTACGCCAAATCAACATACAGAATGAGAACACAATGCCTTGTGTGAGTGCAGATGGGCTCAGGCTCACTGTTATGTTGTCTGTGACACTTGCGACTGTTTTCCTTGAGATTTTGAAAGACCTGGCACCTCCTCAAAGCAAACCACAGTCTTTTGTTGGGTTGTGAGCAGGTGTGAACTCCTCAGCTGTTCTATGAATACCCAAATAGCTTGACTTTAAGAGAGCTTTTGAATATATAACCTCAGTTCAGGTTGCAAAAAGGGGTGAAGGTATTTTTGTGGAGTTCAGTAATACCTTTTTAATACATAATCTCAGCAACTACACATATAACATAAAAAATTGAGGGCTAACAAACTAACCAACTCTAAGGCTTGACAAGAGTTAAGTTCAGTGTCTTTTTTTCTTTAATTCAGGTAGCAGAGATGAGAAGAACCTTGACACCTTCCAATTCTCCAATGTCTTCTCCTAGTAAGCATGGTGATAGATTCATTCCCTCAAGAGCTGGGGCCAACTGGAGCATCAACTTCCACAGAATAAATGTAAGTTTTGCTCCCTTCTCCTACAGCTCAGCCTTGGAACTGAGGAAGTGGTACCTCTTGTTTTGGCTGGCATGATTGCTCTGCTTACCTTCTGCACCATGCTCTTCTTCTGCCCCAGAAGAGTTCCACTGAGTGTGTGTCCTCAAACCATATGCTCCCTGCATTTGCTATTTCACCATATACCCTGAGGTTTCTGTGTGGTGATGGCATGTTTCTCCTTTTCAGGAAAATGAAAAATCACCGAGCCAAAACAGAAAAGCGAAGGATGCTACATCAGACACTGGCAAAGGTGAGACCACCCTTCTACTGCTTGGCAGTGCTCAGAGCTCTTATTGCAAGCTGCTGGGGAAGTGGAGGCCGTGCTGGCACTTTCATGCTTATGCCAAAACTCATGCTGGTGTTTTGGGAAATGCCCACATAATGAGTGAGTGCCAGGTCACTGCTGTTGGTGGGTGTCTGGAGGCAAGAGGCTGTCTCTATGCCTTGGTTTATTGTGTCATGAAATCACTTTCCTGATGGAGTGGAAGGAGGGGAAACTTGCTACTAATCCTGATTCTAAATGGGGGCCCCAGGTTTATTAAGAGACTCTGTGAGAGTACAGGTTGTAGAATCCCAGACTGGTTTGAGTTGGAAGGGACTTTAAAGCCTATCTGCTTTCACTCCCTGCCATGGGCAGGGACACCTTCCACTATCCCAGGTGGCTCCAAGCCCTGTCCAGCCTGGCCTTGGACACTCCCAGCGATCCAGGAACTCCAGCAGCCCCAGCTGCTCTGGGCACCCTGTGCCAGGGCCTGCCTACCCTCCCAGGGAACAATTCCTGCCCAATATCCCATCCATCCCTGCCCTCTGGCAGTTGAAACCATTCCCCCTTGTCCTGTCCCTCCAGGCTCTTGTCCCAAGTCCTTCTTCAGCTCTCCTGGAACTCCTTTAGGCCCTGCAAGGGGCTCTGAGGTCTCCCTGGAGCCTTCCCTTCTCCAGGTCAGGCACACATGATCCTGACACTCCCTGCTGTTCCTGCTCTGAGCTCTCTGCTCAGTGCCTGTTTGGGTTTACAGATGGCCTTGCCTACTCTGCCTTGCTGAAGAATGAACTCTTGGGAGCAGGGATCGAGAAGGTGCAGGACCCCCAGACAGAGGACAGGAGGCTGCAGCCATCCACCCCAGAGAAGAAATCTCTCTTCACTGTAAGTTGGTTGCTTGCATTAGCACCAGTGGAGGTTGTGTGTGTGGCACAGAACAGAGCACAGGGCTCTGCCAGGCTGCTTGTGCAGTCACTTGGTGTTGGGGCTTGGCTGAGATAAGCTGTTGAGAGCAAATGTGATGGCCTGCAAAGGGAGCCTGAGTCTGCAGCAAGCAGTGTGCTTCCTGTGTTTGTGCTGGCAGGAAAGCTGGGTGGAGCCAGGCGTTTTGGACAGTGTGGTGAGTGGCCAAATCAGGCTTTTGGACTTGAGTGTTGCTGAGGGGTTTTTTATGGTTTTGGAGCACCTGGGAAAGGAAAAAACTGGTTGTTGGAATTAGCTTGGCACCAGTAAATGTTGGGAGTGATGCCCCAGGCCTCGGGCATACCAGGGTCCTCACAAGATGTTTCTTTATGCAGTACTCACTCAGCACAAAACGCTCCAGCCCAGATGATGGCAATGAGGTCTCACCCTATTCCCTGTCTCCTGTCAGCAACAAAAGGTAACACTGATCCTCTGCAAACTAAAAGAAGGGGAGGGCTGGGACAGAAGGGACAGAGGGTTCAGTGGGGTTCTCTAGGACTTCTGTCTAAAATTCTAAAATAAATGTGAATTGGGTTTGGAAATCTGGAGAAATAGTAAATAAAACAGTCAATTTCTAAGAATTTATTCATGTGCCCAACCTGTCTATGTGCTTGACATGTCTTGGTCAGCTCTCAGTAATCAGTTTACCTTTCTGCTTCATAGCTCCTTTGTAGAAGCAGAACCTAATTCCTTCCAGTCTTGCTGCTGGAAAAGAGTTGTGCAGCCTTTTTGTGTCTGCATTTCTGTAGAAACTTCAGAGTGCTCTATAAAGAGTGGCTGCACCTGTGCCTCCCATCTGCTGTGATGTGCAGATTCCTGTAGTTGTTTTTCTGTCTGTTTTTGTAAACAGTCAGAAGCTGCTAAGATCACCTCGAAAACCAACTCGGAAAATCTCCAAGATTCCTTTTAAAGTGCTGGATGCTCCAGAGCTGCAGGATGACTTCTACCTGAACCTGGTGGACTGGTCCTCTCTTAACGTCCTCAGCGTTGGCCTTGGGACTTGTGTTTATCTGTGGAGTGCTTGTACGAGTCAGGTAAATGGTCATGAGTATCTGAGGATTGAATTGCCCATTGATGTGGGGTTTTTCCAGCATTCCAGGGCTATGGAATGTGCTGTGTGAGGGCTTCAGCACTTGTCACGCTCTATCCCCAGCACAGCTCTGGTTTGTGAGACAGCCAGTGGTGCTGTGTGACAAAGCCACGTTTCTTACCCCGTTCTTCTCTCTGAAGGTAACGCGGCTGTGTGACCTCTCTGTGGAAGGCGATTCCGTGACGTCCGTGGGCTGGTCAGAGCGGGTCAGTATGACACTGTCAGCAAGGACAGCTGAGACATGGGTCATGCAGTCATTGTCATCACAGCTGTAGTTAACTCCCTGAGCTGATTTTTCTCTGCTAAAAGAGAGGGGATAGAGAGCAGCCTCTTGTATCTTGAGGTTCTGGAGGCGTTCCTAAGAGGAGTGGGAGGGAGAAGAAGCCAGTTTGCTTCTTCAGCTCTTGACAATGAAATGTTACAATAAATATATTCCAGACAGGCTGCTTGGGCCTCTCAGTAGGGAAAAACTTGTAAGATGGAAGAACTCTGGATGCTTTCCATCTTGTGGGATTTATGTCAAGTCTTCTCAACTTTTTTTTGACTGTTTTCTGACTGTACTTCCTGGCTGTACTGATCCTGGCTCTCTGTTTGTGCAGGGGAACTTGGTGGCCGTTGGCACGCACAAGGGCTTTGTACAAATCTGGGATGCAGCTGCAGGAAAGAAGCTCTCCATGCTGGAGGGACACACAGCCAGAGTTGGTAAGGAGTGGGGAAACAGAGGCTTCTAAGGGGTCTCTCCTTCCTGATTGGAACTTTGTTAGCCAGGGATCTGCTGGAAATAGAGAACTCAGAATGCCAGGATTGATACTTATTCCCTGCTGTCCTCTTGAGCAGGTTCAAAATATTATCATCTCATAACTCTGGTGTTCTGATCTGGGTGTGATGGTGGTGGGGTGTTGCAGCAGGTGTTTCCTACTTGCTTGAGGCTTTTTGGGTTTGGTTACAAAATCTCTTCACTGCTGCTGGCTTCCAGTTTCAGCCCTTCTGGCAGCTTCCTATTGAGATTTCCATTTCCCTTTTTTGGAGGACTGTTTTTTTTTTACTTGGAGATGTTGTGAATCTAAGCTCTGGGGTGAGATTTGGAAAACCCATGCACATTCGAAGATCTCTTGCTGTGCTTTACTGTACTGTGAAGTGAGGTTGGTAATACCTGCAGTCTGTTCAGGGAACCTCTATTTGTGCCCTGATCTAGGACCCCAGAGAGTGGATGTAAGGGAGTTCTGTAAGGAGTGGTTTGAAGTTTGTTAGGATTTTTTTTTAAAACCCTGGCAGCTCTGATGGCTGCATTTTGCTTACTAGCTGCAGCAGGACTGGAAGGGTTGGACTTGATAACATGGCCAGCAGGACCAGGGCAGTGACCATCCCTTTGTGCTGAGCACTGCTGAGGTCCCACCTCAAATCCTGGAGTCAGTTTTAGATCTCTCACAACAAGAAAGACACTGAGGGACTGGAGCATGTCCGTGGAAGGGAACAGAGCTGGGTAAGAGACTGAAGCACCAGAAGCAACTGAGGGAGCTGTAGGGACTCAACCTGGAGAAAAGGAGGCTCAGGGGGGCCTTCTGGCTCTGCACAGCTCCCTGACAGGAGGGTGGAGCCAGGTAGGGGTCAGGCTGTGCTCCCAGGGATGAGAGGACATGCCCTCGAGCTGTGCTAGAGGAGCTTAAGATTGGCTATTGGGAAAATTTCTTCACAGAAAGGGTTACAAATCATTGGAATTGGCTGCCTAGGGCAGTGGTGGAGTCACCATCCCTGAAAAGTGTGTGAAAGACGTGGGGATGTGGCTCTCAAGGACATGGTTTGGTGATGAATGTGGTGCTGAGTTGAGGGTTGGACTTGGTGACCTTAGAGGTCCTTTGCAGCCTCAGTGGCTCCTAGAGCAGCCTCTGAAGCGCTGCCCCGTTGCAGGTGCCTTGGCGTGGAACGCGGACCAGCTGTCGTCGGGGAGCCGGGACAGGATGATCCTGCAGCGGGACATCCGCACCCCGCCCCTGCAGTCTGAGCGGCGGCTCCAGGGACACAGGCAGGAGGTCTGCGGGCTCAAATGGTCCACGGACCACCAGCTCCTGGCCTCTGGAGGAAACGATAATAAGGTACATTCCTTCCAGGGGGTCGTGGTTGAAATGTCACACCCGCTTTCTTTCTAGGGCATGGGGAAATGTTGTCAGGTTGCACCAGGGGCGGTTCAGGTTGAATGTTGTTGTATCGCTGGAGGTGTTCAAGGCCAGGCTGGACAGGATGTGCAGCAACCTGGTCTAGTGGAAGGTGTTCCTGACCATTGCAGGGGATGGAACTAGATGGGCTTTGAGGTCCCCTCCAACCCAAACCATTGTATGATTCTAAGATTAGGGAAAAATTTCTTCACTGAAAGAGTGGTTAAGCATTGGAACAGGCTGCCCAGGGCAGTGGGGGAGTTGCCATTCCTGGAATTGTTCAAAAAACAAGTGGATAGGGCACTTTGCAATATGGTTTACTGGGCACTGTGGGATTAGGTCAAAGGTTGGACTTGATCTTAAAGGTCTTTTCCAACCTTAATGGTTCAGTGATTCTTTAAGGATGTTTGGCCTCTCTGAAAAGGACTTTTGTTTTGGTTGTTGGACTATGACCAAACAAAAATCATGTTAAGCTTCTACTCAGTCTTCTCTTCCTAATAAAATGAAAAAGGCAAATTTAATTTTGCTTTTGTATTTGGCTAATTAAATCTATAGCTTGGCTCAGGGGGTTGAGTTCAACAAAGCCACTGCTAAGCTGCCCTTCCTGGCTTTGTTTGGGTAGTGTATGGTCACGTTTGTTGCAGTAATGTTTGTGTGCAGCAGGAAGCTGAGGTAGAGCTCTGCGAGTTCTCATACCTGTAGCATAGGCTTGCAGCTCACTGAGCACCATATGGGAGAAGCATCTGTCACAAAAAAGCGGGTTCCAAGCCCTTTGGAGTGGGTTGCTAGGTAGGGAATGTGCCCAGTGCCTGTGTGACAGCATGGTTGGACCGAGTTCCTCCTGCTCAGAATAACTCCTAATGAACTGAGCAGATTTCTGGCTGTATTCTGGAATGATACAGCCTGAAAGGCAACAGCAGGGTCTGAGGCCCCCTTCAGTGATGCCATTTCTTTAGATTTATTCCCTTACCTTAGGGCCTGTTCCTGCCACATGGCCTTGGGGTAGGACAACTCCTCACCTGAGTGTGGTGTCAGGGTGGTTGTGACTGCCCCATCCCTGGAAGTGTTCGAGGCCAGGTCGGATAGGGCTAAGAGCAACCTGGTCTACTAAAAGGTGTCTCTGTCCTTAGCAGGGATTTAAACTGAATGAGCTTTAACCAACGCAAGCCATTCCATGATTCTGTGAAGTGCAGAGTGGAGCTGTGCATGTCTGAGCAGAGCTGTGGGAAGTCAGCTTGTTGCCCAATTGTCCTCATCAGTCCCATTGTGCCTTGTGGGTGCAATGGACACATGACTGAGGCACAAGTTTGATCATGTCTCTTCTCTCTGCCAGCTCCTTGTCTGGAATCACTCCAGCCTGAGTCCTGTCCAGCAATACACAGAGCACCTGGCAGCAGTCAAAGCCATCGCCTGGTCCCCACACCAGCACGGGCTGCTGGCCTCAGGTGGGGGCACGGCCGACCGCTGCATCCGCTTCTGGAACACGCTCACGGGGCAGCCCCTGCAGTGCATCGACACCGGGTCCCAGGTGTGCAACCTGGCCTGGTCCAAACACGCCAACGAGCTGGTGAGTCCTGCCCTGTGCTGGCTGAGCGTGAGCCAGGTGTACCCAGGTGGGCAAGGAGGCCAAGGGCATCCTGGCTTGTACCAGCAAGGGTGTTGCCAGCAGGACCAGGGAAGTGACTGGCCGCCTGTTCTGGGCACTGCTGAGGCACCTCAAGTGCTGGGGTCAGTTTTGGGCCCCTCACAACAAGAAAGACAGTGAGGGGTTGGAGCATGTCTGGAGAAGGAACAGAGCTAGAGAAGTGGCTGGAGCACAAGACTGATGAGGGACAGCTGAGGGGGCTCCAGCCTGGAAAGAAAGAGCCTCAGGGGGGACCTTCTCTCCCTCTGACAGGAGGGTGGAGCCAGGTGGAAATTCAGGCTTTTCTTCCAGGTAACAGGTGACAGCATAAGAAAAAATGGCCTCAAGTTGCACCCGGGGAGGGTTAGATTGGATATTGGGAAAATTTCTTAATGGTGGTCAGGCACTGAAATGGGCTGCCCAGAGCAGTGGTGTAGTCTGATGGACTTGGTGATCTTGGAGGTCTTTTCCAGCCTTAGCAATTGCATGATTCTATGATGCATGTTCCCCTCTCCCCTTTCAGGTGAGCACCCATGGATACTCCCAGAACCAGATCCTCGTCTGGAAATACCCCTCGCTAACTCAAGTAGCAAAGCTCACAGGGCACTCTTACCGAGTCCTGTACCTGGTGAGTGATGGCCGTGGCTCTAGCTGCTCAGCTGGCTGTAGGTGTGCTCAGCTGGCACCCAAAGCAGCAGTGCCAGTGGCACCATAAGCTGCCTGGGCGGGAATGTGAGCGCTCCCCATGAGCAGTGGAAAACTCCATCGCATTTTTGTGCCTGCAAGGGACACTTGGATTTGCTGCTATGGAAATGTGAGGCTTTGTTAATGATAGCAAAGCCTGCCAAACTCTCCTGAGGAAACATCTGAGTTTTCTTCTAAGAAAACTCTTCTGAGCCTGGAGAAGAGAAGGCTCCAGGGAGACCTTCCAGTGCCTAAGAGGCTCCAGGAGAGCTGGAGAGGGACTTTGGAAAAGGATCTGGAGTAGCAGGACAAGGGAGATGGCTTCAGACATCCACAGGACAGGGTTAGATGGGATATTGGGAAGAAATTCTTCCTGGGAGGGTGGGCAGGCCCTGGCACAGGGTGCCCAGAGCAGCTGTGGCTGCCCCTGGATCCCTGGGAGTGTCCAAGGCCAGGTTGGCCAGGGCTTGGAGCCACCTGGGATAGTGGAAGGGAGAGGAACGAGATGAGCTTTAAGATCCCTTCCAACCCAAGGCATTCTGGGATTCTGTGATTTTCTGAAACACAAGGTTCTCCCCTTGCTCTCAGAAGACTTTCACACCTCTTCACTGATGACTCCTGCCCAGGGAATTAAACATTTGTTGCAGATAATCCTGATCCATCTCATATCTGCTGTTACTGTTACATGGGGGTGTCAGCAGTTCACAACAGAGTTGACAAATGCTGATAATGTTTTGGGAGGTAGATCCCAATGTAATCACTCAATACAGGTAGAAAATCCAGTTATGTCATCTTCTTGCCTTCAGGCAGGTTGATAATCCTGGGAGGAACAGCCTCAATTACGCATGGCTTGGATTTCTTAACACAAGTACTCTTTCCACAACACTCCCCCCATGTGTTCCACAGCTGCACCATAAGGTGCCAGTGCCCAAATTGCACCTGAGGCTGCATGAGGCACCTGGAAGCAGAGATAGCTGGCTTCTCACCACGAGTCAGAAGGACAGTTAAATCTCTCCTGCATTCCAACAAAGTCTTGTTTTCAGTCTCAAAAATGTGGCAGGTGCTAAAGGTTGTTGTCTTGTCCTTAGGCAATGTCCCCTGATGGGGAGGCCATTGTCACAGGAGCTGGAGACGAAACCTTACGCTTCTGGAACGTCTTCAGTAAAACTCGCTCGACGAAGGTAAGGCCAGGCCTGGGGCAGCTGCCTGGGGCAGCTCAGGCCACGTTGGCTCTGCTCTGCTGCCTCCTCCCTGATCCCTTCCTGCAGATCAAGGGCTGAGGCAGTGAAGGATTCAACTTTGTTGAGATTTAAGTGAAAGGTCGCCCTGTGTGCCCAAGGCTGGTGTGACACAACATCCCTCTCCAGGCTGGTCCAGGGCTGCTGAGCAGAGCAGCTGAGCCCTCGGGTGACAGCAGGCTGGGAGACCTGGGGGTGTCCAGCTGGACAAGAGAAGGCTCCAGGGAGACCTCAGAGCCCCTTGCAGGGCCTGAAGGGGCTCCAGGAGAGCTGGAGAGGGACTTTAGACCAGGGCCTGGAGGGGCAGGACAAGGGTAAATGGCTTCCCACTGCCAGAGGACAGGGTTAGATGGGATATTGGGCAAGAATTGTTCCCTGTGAGGGTGGGCAGGCCCTGGCACAGGGTGCCCAGAGCAGCTGGGGCAGCCCCTGGATCCCTGGAAGTATTCCAGGCCAGGCTGGATGGGGCTTGGAGCAACCCATGACAGAGGGTGGAAGGTGATGAACTTTAAGGCCCCTTGAGGCCCAAACCATTCTATGATTCCATGATTATCCCCTGCCTCTTAACAAAACTGTTTAAAATGGGGCTTTGGATGAAAATGGGCTCATGGATTGTGCCAGTGACGACTCGGCATCACCAAAAGCAGATTGTGTCTGATGCTCTGAGAGCTTTCTTGGGTGCCTGGCAGAGGGATTTGGAGGAGGGGGCTGGGGCAAGCTGGCACTGCTCCTGGGGGTCCCCCAGTTCTTGCCATCTCTGGAGTACAGCTGCCTGCAGAGTGCTGGGAGTTGCACTCTGGCCAGCTGCCAGATGTTACCAACTGGAGGAAACCCATGGGAATATTTATGGTGTTGGACTTTGATTTGTGAGCTGGAATCATGCCCTGAGCTAGAGATACCAGATTAAAAACAAACCAGCCCAGAAGCAGGTGAGTAACAGCTATTTACCCCCTGCTTTGTCTTCCCTTGCCAGGAGTCTGTATCTGTGCTCAACCTCTTCACCAGGATACGATAAACCCCCTCCCTGTGCCCCGGGAACCTACAGCCTGACATTCCAGGATCAGACCACTCCCTCGGCCTGCATGGACCTCCGGAGCCCAGCCAAGGGGAGGGAGAGCCGTGGGACTGCAGGAGGACCCAGCTCATTAAATATGTGCTTGTGACCCACAGGGCTGGGCAGTATTTGGGATGGGGTGGGGAGGGGAGGGAACTGCCAAAGGTTACCGGATTCATCCTTCATAAAGGGAAACGGGTACAAGAGAAATGTTAACCCAGCATCCTCCAGCCGTCAGGATGGTACTGGGGAGGACTCGTGTGACATGGACCATTGAGACTGGACCCAGGCCATCCCCACTGCCACGGTGTGCCTCCTGCGAGAGAGGAGCATATCCTTGCTGCTGTGGGAAGGGGTTTCACGTGCTGCTCTGTGTCCCAGAGTGGCATCTCTGGAGGCAGGAGCCAGCCAGACTGGGCCGGTACAGCTGGTGCGAGGGGCACAGCTCCAGGCTGGGCATCTAAGGGCTTTGTTCATAGCCTGGCATCCCCATTCCAGGAAGAAACTGGAGAACTGCCTATTTTCCTTTTTTTTCTTTATTTTTCCCCCCAGACAGGTACTGTAGTACTTGACATGATCATTCCATAAGACAGCTTGATTTTTTTGGGCATGCTTGACAGCTGCCTCCGAACAAACACGCTTTGGGGCTGTAGACTTCGGAGGAGACTTGAAAAAACTTCACCTCTAAGGGAGAAGATTTGGGAAGTTCTGCAGTTGCTATTTCATGTTCGGGGCTGATCCTGGGAGTTACCAGAGAGCAGAAGCAAGGACTTTATAAAAAAAGAAACCCACCCAACCACCTGTGCATGTGGAGCTTCCTTTGGTGCTGCTGTATGGGTGCCTTGCTCTGGAGTCTCCCTGAGGCCAAAAGCATTTGGGATGTGTTTGAGAAAAAAAAATAAATCCTAAAGATCTGATTTTTGGGGTGAGCAGGGCCTCTTCTGGCTGGAAGAGGGGTTCTCCTGAAGCAGGGCTGCAGCGCTGCTTTTTTGTTATTTCCAAGTCCCACGTAGGGCCCTGCTGTTGAGTTTTGGTGTGTGGTTTGGGGTTTTTAGGTTGTGTGGGATGAGAGTTCTGGCTGGTGTTGGAGCCCATGGGGTGTAACATAAATGTTCTTTGTGTGTGTGTGGTGCTTTTAATTTAAGAGAAGCTGTGAGGCTGCACAGCGTGTTCCATCTGACCTGTGCCTGCCCTGCCCAGGCCCTGCCTGCCTCCTGCCCTCTCCCAGCGTTGCTTCCTGTTCCCATGTGGAATTCCCTGGCTGTGTATATAGACTTGTCTTCTCTGTGTAGATTGCATAGGTAATGCTTTCCCTTTCTTTTTTTTTCTTTGTTGTTTTGTCTGCTCTCCCTTCTTTCTCTAAAACCAGATGGTAGGAATATGATGCCTGTCCCCAGTACCACCAGTATCCTTAGGGTGAGCCAAGGTGTGAGAAGGCCAATACAGCCTTGACCACGTGTGCCATCACGCCAGTGCCTGGATCAGGCTGGTGGTGCTGTCCCTGTGTCACACATACTGGGAGTCACTGGTGAGGAGCTGGTGCTGGGAGCCCCCTGGCAGCTCCGAGTCTCCCAGGCCCACAGGCCACTTTGTCATCTCACAGTCTCACTCCCCACCAAAATGGAATTTCCATGGAGTTTCTGAAACACTGTTTGAGTGCAACTGCTTTAGTGCAGCTCTGGCCGTGGGATGTGAGGCATGGTTTGAAGTTGCCCCCCGGCCCGTCTTGTGTTGTTTGTTCCACTTGTGGGCACTGTTCCACATCACCGTGGGTTGGGAGCACCCCAAAGCACCCAGCAGGTGTTGAGTAGGATCTTTCAGCTGGGGAATGGGTTTGAAGTAAAGGGTGATCTGTAGGAAGAGGTGGTCTGTTGTGGGTATCGTCACCTGGGGAAAGGGCTGTTCAGGGGGCTGGGGAGGCTGGTGGCTGTGCTCTGGCTTTTCCTGTTGTGGATTGCCTCCTGCTAAATGGCACTGTGCAGACACCCAGGACACACTGCTTTCTCCTCTGGGAGGGTGTAGGTGCTTGGGCTGGGGGCACACAGGAGGTCTCAGCCCAATTTGGAGCAGGAGGGAACAAGACACCCAACTGGAGTGTATGGTTGGGCTCCCCAGTGCACTGGGGCTCACAGGAGTGTAATTGCCTCTCCCCCTGTGATGGGGGAACTTCCTTAAGGAGTCCCAGAAGATGCTGGGGGGAGTGGCAGTGATGTGGGGTGGGCAGTGCCAGGTGGGCATTGCAGCTGCTGCCTAGTGTTCCCAGCTGCAGAGCAGGGATAGCTCTTCATTGCTCTGTCCCCTACCACTGTCCCTTCTTGCCAAGGACTTTCCCAGACTGCATCTTGTGTCTGCATCTTGCTTTTCTGTCTGCCTTGGTAGGTTGGCTCGTGGTGTCTTCTCTTACTGCACTTGGCAGGGAGGCTGGTGATTGCCAGGCCAGGGCTGTTCTGTGTTGGTGACAGAGCATGGCAGGAACAGGCTGCTCCCCCTGACCTTGCTGTCAGCCCGGTACCGCCGCCTTCTCTGCCCCGCTGCCAGGCAGGGGCTCTCGGTTGTATCCGTGTGGAGGTGGGTGTGTGCAAGTGTCTCAGGGTTGCTACTGTTACTGTCACCGGCTGCTCAAGAGAGAAAAGGGCAGAGCTGAGGTGATGTGTCAGTGTGTGTGACCCGTGGGCACAGGGTCCTCCCAGAGCTGGGTGACAAAGTCTGTGGCATCATTGTATCCCAGGTGTCATGTGATGGAAAACAAACGTGGAGCACGCTGTAACTTTTTCATGTAAAGCAATTGAACTGGCATTAAACAGGTTGTGAATTTACTGGGATTGGTCTCCATGGCTCCACTTTGCTTCTCCACAGCAAAGGGTGCAGCAAGTCACCAGAGTCCTCACCCTACATCTGCAGGGTACCAGTTTTATTGGCACAGATCTCACCTGCAGTTTATTGCTCCCAGCTTCCCGCTCCTGTTTGCTTTCCTGCTGTTGGGAAAGGGCACAGCCCCCATCCCTGCCCTGCCATGTGCCCCTTGACATGGCAGGAAGGAGGAAAAGGGGTCCCTGGCCTGGCACAGCCCCTCCTTGCTGGGGTATAGCTGCAGTGAGGCTGGGGGTGCAGAGCCCCTCGGTCCTGCTGGTCCTGCTGTCTCCATGCAGGTGGGACCCTCACAGGGGGGGCAGCCCCTCCCTGGGCACCTCTCCAGTGGAGTACAGCCCTGTGCCTTGTTCCAGCCTTTGGGAGGGACATGGAACCCTGGCAGCTCCCTCCCCCACTGACGTGTCTGATGCTGTGGGGACCAGGCCTGCTGCTGGAAGACCCCCCCGGGCTGGGTGGTGTGGGGCAGAGCTGCTCCATGGGGCTGAGCAGCAGGATGGGGGAGAGGGAGGATCCCTGACCTTGGCATCTCCCACTGCTGCTGTCCCAGGCACGGAGCCGAACTGTGGGTCTGAGCAAGGGATGGCCCAGGAAATGGCATAGAGAAAGGAGCTGTCAGTGCCTCCGTTTCTCCATCTTGGTGCTTGGGGAAACACCTAGGGCCCCTTAACTGGCCTAGAAAGGGATTAAGCTCCAGGGCTTTGGGCTGGGTGGATCCTTCTGTGGGGTGCAGGTACTGCTGTGCCCCCAGCTCTGCTCCCACCCCCAGTTTATGCTCAGAACCTGTGGGAACCCATTGTCCCCACCGTGTACCTGTGACCCTACACCTTCCTCTGTCAGGTGAGCCCCATCCTAGGGAAGGAGCAGGATAAGAGTCAGGGCCTGGCCAGCTGCAGGCCCTGGGGCTCCCTGGTGCCCCCCTCACCACCCCCTTCCCCTCTGTCTCCCACTGTCACCAGCAGCCAGTGCCCCAGGGGGCTGCTCAGGGTCTTCTGCTGCTCCCTGGACCCCTGGGACATCAGCACCTGGAGCTGCCTCCCCACACCAGCCAGAATCAAAGCCCCTGGTCCTGCTGTGTCCTGGTGTGTTCTGGGAAACGGGGTGCATGGGGGACTGGTTCATGCTCATCTTGGGGCATCTGGCCCAGCAAATAATAAATATTAATATAATATAGACTTTTATTAATCTTTATTGATATAATATTCTGTTCTCTATGCCCCTGCCTTGCCTGGGGCTTGGCCCCCTCTGCCTGCTCCTTCTGGGCAGGGAGGGCTGGCTGGGGGTTGCTGCTGACTCCAGTCCCCCTTCCCTGCTTTCTGCCCCACTGGGAGCTCCCTGGGTCTCTTCTGCTGCTGCTCAGGGTGGGCAGACAGGGAGAGATGGAGCCTCTCAGCCCGTGGGCTTCCCAGGCATCGTGGGGAGCTGGAAGGCACTTGGTGACAGAGCCCCCCGAGAGGCCAAGGAAGGGCTCGGGGCAGCCCCTGAACCCCCTGACCCCGGCTGGAGCGCTGGTGATGGTCCTCAGTGGCCTCACGTCTTGTACCTGGGGGGAGGCAGGGTGAGGAGGAGTCTGCTGGGGACAGAGCCCCCCCACGCCCCCCACTCACTGCAGTGACAGGTTGAGGCCTGGCCCAGCCCCCGCGAAGGACAGCTGCTGCTCCAGCTCCGCGATGCGCAGGCCGATGTACCCCGAGGACAGCAGCAAGGCCACCATGCTGGGGACAGGCCAGCATCAGCCAGGGGGCACAGGGTGGCACATGGGGCAAGGAGCAGTGCCACGGGCACTGTGTGCTCACCCTGGGGATGGGGGTCTGAGGGGACATGTAGGAACCCCGGCCTGCCAGGGCCACCCTGTATCAGTAGGGATGGGGACCGGTGCTGGGAGCAGGTGCTCGGGACTCACATCAGCAGGTAGATGATGATGATGATGTTGACAGAGCTCAGCTGGGGATTTATCCGGGACCAAAGTGCAGTGGCCCAGGCCCAGAGCACGGCGTGGGGTCTCCCTGCCACGACAAGGCAAGTGTTAGTGGCACTGAGAGTCTGTGCTCAGCTCTGCCAGGGTGTAAACCCCCAGGACCATCCCCCCCATCCCGAGCCCTCTGACCCACCCCAGAGGCCACGTCTGTCTGCTGAGGGCACCCATTTGCTGCTGCTGGGAACCAGCTGGGCCATCTCGCCATCCTCGTCCTCTGCCTGCCTTGATCCTGGATTTGGCTCATCTGCAGGTGACCAGAGACACTCGATGAATGCCCCAGAGAGGGGTCTATGTGTCCTGGGGGCACATGGGGCCACAAAGTGCTGATCCTGCACTCCCTGGAGCTGTGGGAGATGCTGGTCGGGGGGCCAAAGGCCGTGTGGTCCCCCCCAGACCCTGCGTGTCTGGGGAGGAGCAGAGCCCAGAGCTGCCAGCAGGGCACGGATGCGGGCAGGGCCACGGGCAGGGCTGTGAGCAGGGCTGTGAGGAGGGCACTGGGGCCGCTCACCCAGGGATTCGGGGCGGCTGTTGGGCTCCGGGGTGCTCTGTTCCAGGGCTGACTGGCTCGAGATCTGGAAGAGGACAAGCCCCAGTCATGATGTGTGTCCCCGAGGCACCTGCCCCACTGCCATGGGGACATGGGAGGACCTGATGGGACCTGTGTCACTCACAAGAAGGGAGGGTCCTGGGGTCTTTGCTGCCTTGGGCTGGGGCTTTTCATGTTCCCCCCCCAACATCTTACCAGCCACTGCACCCAGCCCATCCCATCCAGGGGGCTGGGACCACCCCTCCTCCAGTGGTACCCTCCTGCCCTCCATTCCCTGGCCTTACCTGAGACTTCCCAAGGGTTTCCTCATAGCTCACTGAGTCTCGAGGGCTCTGGCCGCTGTCCTGGACAAGGAGAGATGAAGGGAGGTGCCCTGCAATGGATGGATGGAGCTCCCCCTCCCCATCCATTCCCCACGTACCTGCACGTGTTTGCACACCGACCTCAGGAGCTGGTACGTGGCCTCTCGCTGGCGCAGCGACACAAAGAGGAACTGCCGGGGAGCGAGAAGGGGATTTGTGCCAGAGCTGCCCCCTCGGTCACGGCCCAGAGCCCGCAGGGACCGGAGCACTCCAGATAGCCCCGGGTGAGGCTGCCCGAGCACTGTCCCCGCTCTCACCTTCTCCCCCTTGGCCGTGCGGATGCTGATTGCGTTGGGCACCAGCAGAGCCGTGTTGGTCTTTTTGAGGGCTGAGATGGAAGCGACAGGGACCACGGCCTGTGCCGGGGGGGACAGGCTGTGTCAGCGTGTTCCCGGCTGCCACCTGTGCCCCTGCCTGCGCCGCCGGCCCCACGCCCGCTCCGGCCCCACCTTGATGTCCTTGAGCAGGAGGTTGGAGTGGAAGCAGATGTGGCGGGAGGACACGTAGAGGCGGCCGTGGTAGGGCATTTCTCTCTGCCAGGCGCATGAGAAGCAGCCCAGCAGCACGTCCTGCTCGGCGAGCTCCCCGAAGGCCCGGCGGTAGCTGCTGTCCTGCTTGCTCAGCTGCGAGAGGTCTGGGGGTCGGTACTCGGGGCCGCGGGCACCGCGGGCATCCTGCAGCCCCTTGCCCCATCACCACGTCTGCCACGGTACCGGGACGAGCCCTCCCTCGGTTCCCGCCCAAGAGAGCGTCCAGCCGAGCCCATGGGGCTGGCGCTGGGGTCCTTCTCCTCAGCTCCGGTACCCCAAGACTCACCGAAGGGGATGGGGGTCCCTGCCTGCCCGTGGCCGCCTGCTCTGTCTCCCTGGAGGAGGACTCATAGGTCCTGGATCTGGAAGGAGGCATCGGAGGGGGTGACTCGAGGGACACAGGTGGGATGTGGGGCTGGGGTGCGGGATGTGACCCCACGAGGGGCAGCACCCACCTGGTGAGCTTGGGCTGCTCCAGCTGGGCACCTCCCCTCTCCTCCAGGCTCCGCCACTGCTTCTCCCCCAGCACCTTCCGCTTGCTGCGCCTCAGCTTCCCCGGCATGAGGGATGAGTCTGACAGCCGGGGGAGAGGCGGCAGGCTGTGGGGACGGTCTATTCCCGCAGCACGGCAGATCCCAGTGTCACCAACCTGTCACTCCACCGAGGAGGACACAGAGACACGGCTCAGGCCACGGCGGGACCGTGACAACAGAGCTCACCCGGTCTCATGATCCCTTTGCCTGTCCCATGGCATCATGTGCTGGCTACGACCCCCGTGGGCAGCGGGGGCTGGGGTGGACCCCTGTACCGGCGGGTGACGGGGACAGTGATCCCCAGCCGGGGGTGCCGGCGCGGGTCACGGCCGGTGCTGGGCGCGGGAGTGCGTGGCCGGTCTGGCTCCAGAGGGGACGGGAAGGCGGCTGCGGCCCCAGACCCACGCGCGGCCCCAGAACCCCGTCCCGGGCAGGCCCCGCGCGGTACCTGCTGGGGGGCACAGCCGGGCCCCCCGTCCTGTCGGATCTCACTGCTTCCAGCGCCGTTCCTGCTCCGCTGCCACCTCCTCCTCCTCCTCCTCCTCCTCCCGAGGAAGGGCAGCGGGCGGGGCCGGGCGGCCGCGACAGGTTCGCAGGGAGCGGCCGGGGCAGCCCCAGCCCGAGACACCCCGGGGCTGCGCGGGGTGAGCCCCAGCCCGGCCCCCGGGGAATGCGGGACCTGCCCCCCAAACCAGCTGCAAACGCACTCCTGTCCCAGCAGTGCTGAGAACCGGAGCGGCACAGCCCCAGAGCCGCGGCACTCTGCCATCCTGTGGCATTTCACAGCGGGCACCCCGCAAACCCGGGACATCCCGCAGTGCCGGGACACCGCACGGCAGCGTCCGCCCGGTGCCCGCTCCCCTCCCTCCTGCCCCGGCCCCAAGGCCAGGCAGCGCTGGGGGCACGCCCGCCCCTCGCCCCGGGGGTCTCTGCCGTGGCACCCCCAGAGGTGGGGAGGGGGCACGGCCGGGCGGGGGGCGCTGGGCAGAGCCGGGACCGCGCCCCCGCCGCGGGCCCTGGGCAGGTGCGAAGGCCACGGACCCAGCCCGGCTCGGCCCCTGCTCTCTGGACCGGAGCCGATAACGCCCTTCCCGCAGCGGGGAACGCCATAAAGCCGGGCCGGGCCGGGCCGAGGTGGGACACGGCGCTGCCCGAGGGGGCTGCGCCCCGCACGCCCACGCTCCCGCCTGGATCCCCTTCCATTCCCCCACACCGGCCACGCTCGGGGATTCCCCCCTGTCCTTGGCCTCACCTTGTCACACCCTCAGCCCTCTGCAGCCCCATCACCCCACACTCGTGTCCTCTGTGCACACACGACCCCACAGCCCCCAGGGCAGGGGCTCCGTGCCAGCCCAGCCAGAGGGCACACACGGAGCTGAGTGTGGGAACAGGACACGGACAGGGGGCCAGGGAGAACCCCTGCCATGGAGCCAGGCTGGCAGAGCTGGGGTGCTCACCTGGACAAGAGAAGGCTCCAGGGAGAGCTCAGAGCCCCTTGCAGGGCCTGGAGGGGCTCCAGGAGAAGCTGCAGAGGGACTGGGGACAAGGCCTGGAGGGACAGGACACAGGGAATGGCTGCCACTGCCAGAGGGCAGGGCTGGATGGGATCTTGGGCAGGAATTGTTCCCTGGCAGGGTGGGCAGGCCCTGGCACAGGGTGCCCAGAGCAGCTGTGGCTGCCCCTGGATCCCTGGCAGTGCCCAAGGCCAGGCTGGGCAGGGCTTGGAGCAGCCTGGGACAGTGGAAGGTGTCCCTGCCATGGCAGGGGTGGCACTGGATGGGCTCTGAGGTCCCTCCCAGCCCAAACCATCCCAGGGGTTATGGAGAAACCCCCAACACCCTCCTGCTCACAACCAGTGTGCACACAGCACAGCCCTGCACACACGTGGGGCACACTCAGGTACGGACACACACACAGAGACACACACAGTCACAGTGACACACACAGAGCCTCACACCCACACACACAGTCACAGTCACACACACACAGAGACACACACACAGACACACACACACACAAACACAGTCACACACTCACACACACACAGAGTCACACACAGTCACAGTTACACACACAGAGCCTCACACACACACACACAGTCACACACACTCACTCACACACAGTCTCACAGTCCCCGCCCCCGCCGCGCACGGGCCGTCCCCATTGGCTGTCCCGTCCCGGGGGCGGGGCCAGGCGCACGGACCAATCCCGTGTCCGCAGCGCTGCGCGCGCTCCGTTCGGCGCGCGGGGCCGCCATGGCCGCTGAGGGGCCGTGCCCCCCCCACCCCCGGCCCTCAGGCCGCCCCTCTGCCCGGGGCCGGGCGGGAGCAGCGCTGGGCACGCCCCGAACCCCCCAAACCTGCTCCAACCCCTGCTGTGGGTCCCGCACCCCAGAGCGGAGCCCACCCCCATCCCGCGGCCGTCAGTGCTGCGGTTGGTTTCTTTCTCTCCTTTTTCTCCTCCTTTATAAAGTGCCGTTTGTACGTATTGACCTTACAAAAGCAGGTTAAAACCTCGGGCCGAGCGCTCCCCTCTTCTGGGGCCGCCCCGGCCTGGCCTAGGCCCTTTTAGTGTTCATTGTGCAGGTGAGAGGTGACAGGTGACCCTGCACCGGTGACACCGCACCGGGGACAGCCTTCATGGGCCCAGTGGGGCCTGGGACACCGGAGTCCAGGATGGGGACATGAGGTCAGGGTGGGAGTACGAGTCCAGTGCAAGGAGACGGGGTGGGGTCGCCCCCTCCCCAGAGCCCAGTGGCCCCCAGTGCAGGGGGACCCTCCAGACTCAGAGTGTGGCACCGCGGTGGCCCAGGACGTGGTGGCCGAGGACACAGCCCTGAGGAGACAGCCCTGAGGACACGGTGGCCAAGGACACAGCCCCACTCAGTTGACGGTGCCACTCTGGCTCTCTCCCTCAGTGCTCCCAGTGCCACTTTCAGGGGTCCTTGTGTTGATCAGCCCCTCCAGGCCCACAGTACCTGGAGGAAGAGGAGGAAGGGACAGGTCAGGAGAGATGGCAGAGTGGGGTGACCCTCACGTGCTGGCCTGGCCCTCCTGGACTCTTCTGCTAGCACCAGGGGCCTGACCCAGCAGGGCCCCCAGCAGCACAAGGGGTCTGTCCTGTTCCCCCACCCCACAGCGAGGCACTGGCACCCCAAGAGGCAGAACAGGCACTGAACAGAGGTGCTGTCTCCCCAGCCTGGCACCCCACCACCCCCACATTTGCTGCCACACCCTGACACCCCTTGGAGCCCTGAGACCAGCATGGCCATGACTGGGCCAGGAGGATGTTGCCCCCCAGAAGGGCACAGCAAGCAAACACTGCCCCTCTTTGGGGGCAGCAGGTAAGTTGGACAATGGCCCTGCCCTGTGTCCTACCAGGAGGGCTCCCCTGCAAGTATGGCCGCAAGCCAGCCCGGTAATGACAGCGTTCCCACTGCTCCCCCACTGCAAAGACTCTGTGGCTTTAGCCCAGGCTGGCACTGACCACAGGGCTCCCAGTGCCCCCAGCCCCACACTGGGCTGCCCCCAAGCCCCCAGCCCCACTCACGGCAGCGGATCCGGATGGGCCACACCATGATGGAGCACAGCGTGGTGACAGCGGCAACGGCGATGCCACCGGTGACCAGCACCATCACCCAGCGGTAGAAGTCAACACAGGCAGGGCAGCAGAGCTCGGTCCTGTGAGGACAGGCAGGAATGTGCCTGGAGGCCGGGACTGAGGTCCCAGGCTACAGGCAGTGGTCCCATGTCCTCACATCAGAGTGAGGACCAGTTTGCACTGGAGTGCGAGGGAAAGGCACAGGGCAAGGATATCCCCAGGTATGGCTTGGGCCCTCCAAGGCTGGGAGAGAAGGTGAAGAAGGGTTTAAGACAAATCAGAGCTGGACAAGAGAAGGCTCCGGGGAGAGTTCAGAGACCCTTGCAGGGCCTGAAGGGGCTCCAGGACAGCTGGAGAAGGACTTGAGACAAGGCATGGAGGGACAGGACACAGGGAATGGCTTCCACTGCCAGAGGGCAGGGATGGATGGGATATTGGGCACGAATTGTTCCCTGGCACAGGGTGCCCAGAGCAGCTGTGGCTGCCCTATCCCTGGAAGTCTTCCAGTCCAAGTTGGACAGGGTTTGGAGCAGCCTGGTGTAGTGAAAAGTGTCCCTGCCCATGGATGGGCTTTAAGGTCCCTTCCAATCCAAACCATTCTGGGATTCTACAAATCCAGGCTGGTTCCCTTCCGTGTCTCTTGCTCCAACCCTGAAATGTTTCCTCATGGCCCTCAGGGACTGGGGGTCCCAGCTCTGCAGAGACACTTACGGGCAGGGGTGCAGGTTCTGGATCATCATCACAGCCAGGCCATTGGCCATCTTGTCTGTGAAGCTCATGGCACCGTAGACAAATGCGCTGCTGTGCTGCGGGAAGAGAGGGAACCCTGTGCCGTGCTGGGCCATGCAGCCCTGTGTGCCCTCTCATGGGCAGAGCCCTCATTGCAGCAGAGCACGGGGCACAGCACTCACGGGGCACAGCACACGGGGGCCCAGTAGAGCCCCCTCCCAGCGCCTCCATCCCCTAACCCTGACCAGTGCCCACTCCAGATCATGGGTTCTGTGCCCACCGTGGCCCCCCGCTCCATCCCAGCAGGAGCAGCGGCCGTACCGTGTTGGTGCCGATGAGATCTGCAGTCATAGACAGGGAGGTGACCAGGATGGTGGCTGAACCGGCCCCCAGCAGCACCGCCAGCCCGTAGATCTCGTCTCCTATTTGCCTGGCCAGGGCCACCCAGGAGGCAAAGGCCAGGACCACCAGGATGCCCACAAAGTAAGTCAGCTGTGATGGGGACAGGCACAAGGGGGAGTTCAGACATCAGCTGGCACTTGGTGAGGGAGGAGCAAGCAGGGAGGGCATGAGGCCAGCATTGCCCAGGAGCCATGAGGAACAGCCCTGGCTCTGTCCAAGCTGTATTTAAACAAGGAGACCCCAAAAGCAGGTCCTTGCTGTGCTCCAGGCTGTTCTGCAGCCCAAGGGTTGAGCCCCAAG